TTGTTTTTTTATGTATTAAAAATGAAAATGGATTCCTTTTTTTTAAATATCAAAAGCAAGGAATTTTTATTGTTTCACATCAACTCTACTTTGTGGGGCAGCGGGTTGGGGAGCGGAAGGGCGGGGAGGGGGGGGGGGGGGCATCCATTAAAGGCTGATCCCATCCATGAAATAACTCAAGCGTTGATCTTTGAAATACATTGAAGTAATGCGTCTTGTGATGTCTTACAATTATCAGGGATACAGGTGTTAATACCTTGTGAGTTTAAGGTTGGGGGGGGGGGGGGGGCTGTCCCTTATTATCCCTTTTTCTGGTGCCATTTTGTCAAATCAATGCAAGATATGCAATGACTGTGAAAGTATAAATGAATTAAGGCTCCAAGTTTATTTGTTAGTGTTTGTAATATTCTTTTTGGGTTGTGTATTTTTTTTTCTTTCTGCTGTCACCTATTGGTATTGGTTGTATTACGTTTACATTGGCCCTTTCTGTGTTGTGATTATAGAATAGTAAGCAAAGATTAAGAGCTTTATGCAAAATTGTTTGTGAACTACTTTATATTATGCCAGTTAGCACTTAAATGCATTGGCTGGTGGGAGGTTGGCAGATGCTCTGGTGTGGTTTGCTCCTCTTTCCTATCAAGTATATAATGATCTATTGTCCTTATCTCTCCTCCTTCTATTCTTTGTATGTTACTCTCTTGTAACACCTCTAATCTCTTTGTGTTGCTAGTGTCATAAAACTCTTTCTAATACTAATACACGCATTGGCTGTAGCAAAATTGTTTTCTTATATTTTGTGCTGTTTTAAAGTGTTAACAGATTCTTAGAAGTGTTTTACGGCGCTGGTATCTGCATTAGGTCATATGAGTGTGCGGGACACATTAAGCTTTTTCAATTTGATAGGAACTGATTTTGAATTTTGCCTGGGTGACAGCTGAAGCCCACTCATATCGATTTTAGGACCACCAAGGGATCTTTAACATTCTCAACTTGCTCACGGGACCTCCGAGATTTTTTTGGCCTTTATCGGAGATCTTACCTTCCCTCAATATCAGGGGTGTGGCTGAAAGACAGCAGTAAGAACGGCCCAAGGGGTAGCAGTAGAAAGGCAGCAGAAACAGTCAGGAGCCCAGGAGAGGGGGCAAAAAAAAGGGGGGGGGGTGGCCGAAAGTGGAGACGAAAGTAGGCTACAGAACATGGTTAGAGACCAAGGAAGGAGGTGAAAGGAGAACTTTTTTGTATTGAGAGAAGAAAATTTTCTGTCGCTGTTTGGTTTCGAACCCAGGACCTATTGAAAGAGAGGCGAACACCGTACTCTACCTCTAGACCCCGAGAGCCTCCGTATTGAATATTAAGTAAAAATGTACAACAGATTTCTAAATTTTGATTTTACAGCGTAAAATAGTACAATATGGCTGAAGCTTTCAACATCCAAAATACTGATTTCAGTGGAATGACAGAGGGAGAAAAAAGAGACCTTGTCTTAGATGAGGTGTACCTTAATGCATTTGTCAAAGTGAATGAAGAAGGCACAGAAGCTGCAGCTGTTACTGCAGTGGTTATGATGCGGCGCTGTGCTCCTTTGCCAGCTGTCGATGTGGTCGTAGACTATCCTTTTTTGTTTGCAATTCTTTAATAAAAGATCCGATGGAAATTGGAAATATGATTTTCCTTGGTCTAGTTGTTAACCCATCAGCCCAAAAAGTGAATAGGTTTGCTTCACTGCTATGTGAACCTTACTATTCTTTTCTGCACTCCAATTGAATTTAGAAAGTGAATTAGACACATTGTGAAGGGTTCGTGAACTTTGTTTATATATATATACCAAGTAAATTGTATGTTATTTGTCAAACGTAATCTTCTGTTTGTAATTTTTTTAAATCGAAAGATAATTTACTTACTGAAGATATCCATGCTTACGAATCTTCTAATTAGTCTAAGATATACCCTTTGGATGATATGTAAACTTTATATTAATTCTCATATTAGTTTTTATTAACAATAATTTAAAGAAGCTTCTCTTTTTTCATGACACTGACAACATCTTATGAATGCTAATGATTTTGTTAGATCTGCAGTTTACTTTTATTTTAAAAATGCTTTTGCCTAGCAGATGTGTTTAGGTGCTGTGTCCATTTGTTCTGTGTATATATTTAAATAATGTTTGGCTGTTTATTATAGTTTATAGTCGTTGCTGCTGTACACAAGATATTTTCATTTCCTTTTCACACCTTGCCTTGCACCTCTTTCATATTCCCTTGATTCAACCTTTGCGGAAATACTTCCAAGAGCTGTGTTACTTGGGATATTATCTATTCATCATGACTGATAAACATCTGACAATGTGAGACTAGTTATTCTGCACATCAGCAGAAAAAAATTTGTCAAAGAGGAAAAAAAGTCCTTATTATTACTATGATGGCTAACTTTTGCAAGTAAAGTAAGTATTTTAACGTTCCTTTTCCTGCATACAAAATTAGCAAATAGGAGAAATGCAGGTCATGGCTCAAATACATGTTTATGGTGCCGCACAAAAATCAAGCAGTGAGGCTTTAAAGATTGCATTAAAGACCTTTGAACGGTCACGAGCAATGGTATTATAAGGCCAAACTTTTAAGATGAAAATGGAAAAAAAATTAGCATTTAATGCCCAGTTTTTGACAAAATATATTAAAATGAGTTTAATGAGCATCTATTTTTCTAAATGAAAATGGAATCCCTTTTTAGATTTAAAAAACTGGACACATACAATTTTTTTGGTTTTTTGACATATCAGCTTAAACTTGGAAGGGGAACGAGGAGGGCAGAGAGGCGTCCATTAAAGTGTTAATCTTTGAAATATTTCTTTTATAACCTTATAGTTACCGGTATATATGAAATTTTCATGTATGGAGTTTTGGGTCTAGTGATGTGTCTCAACTATTTGGGATACAGGTGTAAGTGCCTTGTGTCTTTTTGGTTTCTTGTCCCTTTTTCTGATGCTGTGTTATTTGTCTTATCAATGTCAGACATGCAATGACTGTGAGAGCATTAATAAGTGAATTAAATTATAGTTCGCGATTGAAATGTATTCTTATGGAGTTCTTTTTTTTTCCCTTTCTGCTGTTACCTATTCATATTGATTGTATTACTTTTACATTGGCCCTTTCTGTTTTGTGATTATAAAATAGTAAGCAAAGACTCTTTGCTTACTATTTTTACAGAATATTCCCGAATGTGAATCTGCGATTAGTTTGATGAAATGCATCCAATAGAATCAGTATGCAAAATACAACCAATGACAAACGGCGTTCGCAATTATGGTCCTCACATTTAGCAAGGCATGACGAAAGCCTACATCACAGAAGCATCTTGGCTCGTTAGCTGTTTAAGAAAAAATAGAAAACAGCGTACCTCATATAGGTCACGAAGAGGTTAAATTGATACAGCACAAAATACATGAAAACAATAAAGTAACAGCTAGTGTATGTATTAGTATTAGTAAGCATTTTACCACACTTGAACACAAATAGGATCTTGAAATTACCAAAATTAGACGTGTTACTTGAGAGTAACATTCAAAGAAAAGAAAAAGTAAGGACTTGGATGCTTGATAGGAAAGAAGGAGCGAACCACACCAGAGCATCTGCCAACCACCCACCCGCCAACGTATTACAAGTGCAAGTCAGTGTAATATAAAGTAGATCACTAACAATTATGCACAAAGCTCTTTCTCTTCAAAATGGGGATCCAAAACTGTGCCCGGTGAGCACGAACTGACAGTGTGTCACAAAGGGGTTAAGTGTTAAGAGATTGTTCGAAACTTCTGTATATTGATAATTAAGTAAAATATGCCACAGATGTCTTGATTTTGATTTGACTGCATAAAATAACATCTTTGATGATGAAAAAATTTCACGCGTGTCATCTTACCTTCCTGATCAAAAGGCTGTAATTTTTCTGTAAAGTCAGGATATGCCATACTGCATTGTTTTAGGGGGTTATTTTAGATATGCTTGTGTTAAGACATACAGCAGTATCGGTATGTTACTGTGTTTTCATTTTACTGGGGAAGGAATCAGCTTTATGAAGTGGATTTCATATTTTAAAATCATTCTCTTTGTTTCTGCTTCTTTGCTAACCTTCCTTCCCTCCTGCCATTCCTCCCCCCCTACCCCCTCCATCAAGGGGTTTTGTTGTTCGATTTTGACGGTTTTAAGAAAATGACTTGACTGTTTTTCATGATATGATTATGTAAATATTTTCACAGGTCTTGTGTCATTGCCTGTCAGATCTATATTTTACACAATGCTCCTTTTCTGATCGCTCAACACATATCGAGGAGGAGGGGAGGGTGAGGGATAGAGGCGTTTATTACAGTGTTAATCTTTGAAATAACTTGTATTTCTGTTATAACCTTTGGTTTTATATAAATGAAGAAGTTATGGATCTTTTGATGATTTACAGCTATTGGGGATACGGGTATAAATGCCTAGTGGATTTTTTCTTTCTTTTTTTGGTTGTTTTCTTTATCCCTTTTTCAGGGGCTGTGTTAGCTATGCAATGACTGTGACAGCAAGAGCAAGTGAATTTAGATCTATATATGGTAACATTGACAAAAAACATAGAACAGATTTCCAAGTTAGTGATTGTAGTATTCTTTTGGGTCTTTTTTCTTTTTTTCTGTTGTCACCTATTCGTATTGATTGTATTACTTTTACATGGGCCCTCTCTGTGTTGTGATTATAAAACAGTAGAGAATCTATTTTTTGAAAGAGATTTAATAAAATTAAAAACCTTCCTCATTGTTTCTGCTTTGTTGCTTACCTTCCTTCCGTCCAGCCAACTCTCCTCCCTCTCCACCTCACCCAGGAGGGTTTTGCCACGTGATTTTGATTTAGTTGATTTCACTGTTTTGCTTGATACGGTTGTATATTATCAATAAATATTTTCACAGTTTTTGTTACACTGTATGTCAGAACTATGTGAAGCAATGTTCTTTCTCTGATCATTTCACACAGGTCAGCAGCAGGTTTCAGCTGAAACCACTTCTGTCAGCTTTAGGTATGGCTGAAGCTTTCAACGTCCAAAATGCTGATTTCAGTGGAATGACAGAGGGGGAAAAAAGAGACCTTGTTTTAGATGAGGTGTACCATAATGCATTTGTCAAAGTCAATGAAGAAGGCACAGAAGCTGCAGCTGCTACTGCTATGTCTATGACGCTGGGCTGTGCTCCTGTGACAACTATTGTTAGTTTGGTTGTAGACCATCCTTTTTTGTTTGCAATTTTTGATAAAAGAGCCAATGGAAATATGATTTTCCTTGGTCAAGTTGTTGACCCATCTGTCTAAAATTCCCTTTTATGTGGACCACCTCCTTGTCCTGAGCTCCAACTGAATTTAAACTTTGCATTTGTTGTTATTGTTGTTGTTAGTTGGCCTTCAGCCCATGAATTTGGACTTAATTTAAACTTTGTTAATTTTCCAAAGAATATTTATTTAAAAAAATAAATTATAAATTTTCAGAGGCAAACTTCTCTACTGGCGATCAAAAGAAAAGTACCACTTTTTGATAGTATATAAAATCTAGTCTTTTGAGTCTTTTCGCTTTTTCTTTTGCGTAGGTAGTACAAAGTTCTCTGAAAACTAGGTAATGATGGGGAAATAACATTTTGGTGTTTCAGTTAGTGTTCACAGCACCAATGATTCCCCGACCACGTGGCGGATTTTTTCTATTCTTTGATTTTTATGAAGTTAAGGTCTGTATTTATTTAAAACCGCTTCAACACTTGATCATTGTCACTTAGAATTTAGTTTTTTAAAATCCAGAATAACGGCACTGTAATGGACCAACAGCCTGCCATTTCACCAAATTTAAAGCTGAGCACCTGTGAGACAGGATACTGTGTTGCTCGTGACGTGAATTCCAACCCCAGAACCATTTTTTTACAGCTGCAGCAAACCGTCACCAATGCCTGAAACAATATTTTACAGAAAGACTAGTGTACTCTATGTGCCGGAGATGCCCTGATGTAATGAATGCACATGGAGATCACAAGGCGTACTGATACATGTGTGACTTTTGGATTTTCCGCGTGTCGTAAAATTTCAGTCTCCAAAAAAAAAAAGTTTTTGCTCAAAACTTGATTTATCTGTGAAATACTTTATATTTGAATTTTGTGGCTGGAAGAATCATTATTTTTCAACTTGAAAGACGAACCTTTCGAACTTTTAGGGTGGTAAACTTTTTTTGATCGCCAGTATATTTGTAAAAAATTTTATTTAAAGGTAATTCGCTTGCTTGAGATATTTATGTAAACAAATACACATTGTATTTTATTTTGCCTAAGATATACTTTGGTGGCTATGTTAACTTATGTTGATTTTCATACATGTACTGGGTTTCCTTAATTAACCACAGAATAGTGGAACCTCTCTCTTTTCATGACAACATGTGATGGATGCTGACCATTTTGTTTGATTTTGGTTTAACTTTAATAGCAAATGTTCTTGTTAAGTTTCGCTCAATTTAATTTTTTCTTTATTTACGTAATAATGTTTAAAAAAAAAAATAAACATCATGTCTGTTATGAACGTAAGTGCTTGTTTTTCATACAATACACAAGATACTCTTATTTATATTTCTTATTCCTTGTCACACTATGCAACATATCACTTTCATAGTATAAAATTTTCTGGGTCCAAGACCAGATCATTTGGGGCATTTTCAAGTCTAAATGACACTGAAATTAGTTAACCTGGGAATGTGAGGTAATCATATGCATATGATATATCAGAGCAGAAAAAAATTCGGCTAATGCAAAAAGCTCATACTTTTAATGCAGAATTATTTTTAAGGTGATCAGTTGAGTATGTAATTTATCCATTTTGTTTGGGCTTTTATTCAGGTTTTGGTTTAAGTTTTGTTTTTTGTTTAGGCGTGTGAAATTTGCAATCGGGGGAATGGGGTTCTTTTCGCGATAGCCTGTGCATCTTATGACGCCAAAGTCAAAATTGAGGCGTCACAGGGTATAAACCTGGTGCGTGGGCAACAGTGTGAAATGGTGAAACCTTTAAAGTAAACAAAAATAAGTACTTGATATCCAGTTAATAGGTACTAAGATGAACTTTTCGATGGAAGTAAAACGTTTTGCTTTATTAAAAAGTAAAGAATTGTTGTTTAGTCAGTCTAGATTGAGTGATTTGAGTTGGGGTGGGCTGGTTGGGTGGAAAGGCATCTACTAAAGATTTTTTTATCTTTGGAAACTTCTGTTTTCAAAAAGAATACTTTGAAAATGTGATGGCTAGCATGTATTCTTGGAGACGGAACTTGTAACATTATTATGCTTTGCAAACTCATTTTCATGGTGGTACTGTGTCTTTGCATGTCATATGTATGATCGCCTATTATACGCAAGGTTCTTTTTTTTAAAGTTCTTTTTGTGGTTTTGATATAAATGTTTTACCAGCCTATTATCTTTATGGCTTTTATGTCAAAGGAGATTTATTGGATTTACAGAAAAATATCAAAACTGCTGCCCTTTATGGTAACATATATATTATTTGTTTTGATTGACATTGTGCAGTTTTTCAAATGGAAGTTCTCTGTGATAATTAAGCATAAATTGTTGAACATATTCTTCTGAAAGAAATAGGCCCTATTTTATGGCTGATGACATAGTCATTTACATACTAAAACAGCAGACATGCCTCTCAGCCAAGGGGGATATTCATGTAAGGGCCTTTTTCAAGGACACAACATTGGACTGAGCCAAAACTCCAACTATTAAATATTAAGTTATACTATATTAAATGAAAATATGTACTTAACACACTGTATGCATCTAAGTTTTTTTAGAATTCGATTAAAAGAAAGACATGCCTACAAGTATCAGAATGATAAATGAAAACTTCATAATGTGTTTTTGTTATGTATGCATTGCACATGACTGAAATGCAACTCACGATCATTTGTATATATCCTGATCACACCACTGATTGCTACTTTCATCAATGTTTCTGAATTTCCCTATTAATAAGATTATCTTCTCCTCTTTCAAATTAAAGAAAATTAAGTTTGTAGGTTTCATTCTTATTGTTTCCTGCAGGTTACTAGCTCCTTTGGGTTGAAGACTCCTCTCACTGCTTTGGGCATGGCTGATGCCTTTTCAGCTTTTTTGGCCGATTTCAGTGGAATCACAGCCAAACCGGAATTGTTTCTGTCCAATGTAGTGCACAAGGCTTTTGTGCAGGTCAACGAAGAAGGCACGGAAGCTGCAGCTGCTACTGGTGTGGTAATGATGGCAAGGTGTGCCATGGTACCTGTTAGACAGATTATAGTGACGGTCGACCACCCATTTTTACTGGTGCTCAGAGATAATAGGTCTCAAGGTCTGATGCTCTTTCTTGGACATGTGTCAGATCCAGAGACAAAATGAATTGCATGTACCACATAAGTGTTCTTATCTGTTGGTTACATTCTATTACTGTACAATGACAGCAGATACTCTCCGTCATGTATGTCAAAGCCCATAGTCTATAATTCTCAAGATACCTGGATCAGAGAGCTTGTCTTTCTTCTGGGATGTTGTGTTCTTGCTCTTCCCAATTTACCCATGAGTGGCAAAGTCCACACGGCCCATCTCCTGGATGTCCTTTATTGTGTCACTGTGGATATAAAACCTTTCTAAATTTTCTTGAAAGGGAAGAAGAAAGGGGTGGGGGGGGGGGGGGGGGATGTACGAAATGTACACTTTTTAAAAGATTTTTAGATTATAAGAAGACTGGTTCCTTTTAAGGATAGGGGACTAAAGTTTGCTACCCCTAAGAATGTATTATGGATCCTTTTCATAGCTTCACACACATTTTCTTTCTGTTCTCCCTGGGTCAGCTTTGTGTCTATGCTCCCCGTGCTTTTTTACACCTGCAGAATCGCTAGTTTGAGACTGAAGTCTTATGGCTGCAGTGAGGTGCACAAATGTTCAGGTGACCTTGGGTTTTAACTGTGTTTTAAAGTGTATTTCCAAAAAAATTTATTAACTCGTAATGTCTTTAAGAGAACTGTTGAAATGTAATGATGATTTGGAAGGCGTATTTTCAAATTATATATATATATATAGAGGCCTTTATAAATATAATGTATTTCTAGTTTTAAAAAAGGACTCACTTGTGCATCATGCCGGTGTGTATCTTTCGTTCGGGTCTGAAGTTTCAGACCTGTTTTATCTTTTGTGACTTTTGCATTCCCTTTACGTTTTTGAGTCATTTATTAGCACCTCTATGTATTTGTACCCTAATTTATGTTTATTTTAATATGTGACACATATTTACATGTGTATATTATGGTTACTAACATGTTGCAGATCCTTTCTAAGGGCTGGAGTCTCTAATGGCTGACAATTTAATGTTCAGTATTTGGCTTCACCAAGTTTGATTAAAAACGTTCCCTCGGACTGTAACATTTTTAACCAAGAGAAATTAAAGGAAGGCCCAATGTCAACTGTTTTTCATATTTTTGTAAGTACTTGTCTTGAAAGATGTCAGTGTGCTGTGGGCGCATTGTCCAAACTTTTACCCACATTTTGTCACTTGGAGTACTAATAATTTTGTGCTGTGGTATGGCTTTTTAAAAACTGTTTTGAGCCAATCTACATCAGATTTTAGCCTTGTATTCTTTGAAATTTATAAAGTAAGAAAACTGAAAAAACTTGATTTTGTAAAATAGTGACATTGTAGAATTATTGTTTAAAGGTTACAGGGATGGAGAGATTAAAATCTTTTTAAAAAAAGGAAAGGAAAAAACAAACCAATCATTTCATGACTTTCCTTACAAGATCTTTTAAATTGGTGCATTTTGCATTTATAGGTGGTTTTTATAAACACCATTTCAATGTTCAAAAATAAGTGTTTTCTTTGTGAATTTTATGTCAAACAAATTCCTTTTGAATAAATTATATGTCTTCCAAATTACAGCATTCTAGTACATATTTTGTGCGAGATATGTGAAAAAAATTGTACAGTTGGGTTGTTTTTTTGGATCACCCTGTATTGTAATTCATCGAGATCACATAATATATGATATAATATATCTAAATATGTATCATGCATGCATTTTATGTCGTTCTCAATAAACAAACATAACATTGTCTAATAACTCTTAAAAGGATTCCTCTGCTGTTTTTCCTTGTCATGATGTATAAATTTTACAATATATAGTATGTCTACATGTACTTTGTACAAAGTCTTCAAAGCTCGGTTTTCATTTTTTTCGATTCTTTTTCAAAGGTAAAAGGGCTTCTGTTCAAAATACTTGTTATACATGTATATATTACGTCTGCGGGGTGCCAATTAAGGAGCTCTACTTCACCCTGGATGTCATTTCTGATAGGTTATAATCCCTTGGCAACCTTTACATTTACATGGATAAGGGGTTTTACCAGTGATGTTTATGTCACAGGATGAATGGAGAGTTTCCTGTAATAGAGCAATGTGGACTTTCCTTTCATACAAAATTTTCCCCAATTGTGTTTTCTTCTTGTCCAAGCCACAGACATTTGCCTTAAGAATATTGAAGCCTATAAGCTTCTCTTTTCCGTTACCAGTAGCAGGGGGTGTCTTCTTCTTGTTTTTCCATTTTCTCTGCTTTCTGATTTTCTTTTTCTTCCAATAACCATCCACCATGCCAGCTTGGTTGCCCACTAAGACCTGGGGGAGACCTTGATTACCGAGGCAGCGTCTCAGCTCGTATAGGATTCTATCATTTGTGAATAGCATCTAAAACTGGTACATGTAGTTCTGTGATTTTCCTTCCATCCCGGGGTAGGAGATAAAGCAGTGGCTGTAGGTGCAATGCTGCAAACAAAAACCCAACTCCATCACAGAGAGATCGTAAAAAAAATGAATGGGTATGTTGGTGTCTGTTGTATTATATTGAGAAGATGTTTGATGAGATAAAGAAGAGGAAGACTCTATTAAGATCATAGTTGCTGTGTGTTGCTGAAATACAAAAATTATAATATAATAAAAATAATAATAGTAATAATAATACCAATTGGAAGCTAGATTCCCCCCCCCCTCCCAGAGCAACCAAGTCCTCTCATCCCAGAGAAGGGGGCAGGGGAAGGCATGGCAGTGGCAGGTCCCAGAGGGTTAATGTTGTCAACAAGCAAGACGCAAATGGTCTCTGCACCTTCTCCACAGTCATAGTGCTCTCCGATAAATGCATGCTTATTAACACATATATGTAGCTGGGTATTCCCTACGTAAAGTCACATCCAGTACAGTGCTGACAATGAGCCTCTGCTTCCCACTCCACCAATACCCGTCCCAACTCCAGGTCAAACAAAGGTTGTCGATGGAGAGAGGAGAAAAGAAAAGTTAATAAATGTAATTAAGTAAAACATTAAAAACAATAAATAGAAAGAGTAAGATACATAGTAAAGTATGTCTCTTTTCGGGGTCACCCCCTTGACCTGTTAGCTTCCTCTTTTCCTCCACGAAGAGGTGGGTCTATTGGGGGGGGGGATACATATATATATATATATATATATATATATATATATATTATATATATATATATATGCATACAAAAATGTTTTATATATGTATATATATATATATATTTAAAAAATAATAAATTAAAAAAAAAATTTAAAAAAATATATATAATATAATATATATAATATACACATATGTAATATACACATATATAATATATAATATACAACATATATTATACTAGCTCTGCCGCCTTTCGTTGAAAGGAATGTTCGGTGCGTTAACATCAACTGAAAGTCATTGGCCTACATGTAGCCTACTATATTTACACTCTACTGGAATGGAGCAATAAATCCCGAGAGATGCAAAAAAATTTAGAAAGTTTAGATAAAGTGATGTATAGATTGATTCTCTATTCCGCTTTCGTGGTTGTACTCTCCAGAATTTCAAAGGAGTGGAAACAGTCCGTACGGCTAATGGACGGAAACCCCACTTGTTTACAATGGCGTTTTAGAAGACGGACCAAAGAGTCTACATAACAAGAGGGGCCACTTCTCTCTTTGAGCCAATTAAAAAAGTGTCCTCAAAATTCGGTGGCGCCCTCTTCGCAAATGCGGACCCTTTGCGAACAGAGTTACCCTACTTGAGTTTAAAAAATCAAAGTGAACCTAGCAAGTTTTTCAATAAATTTCGGAAGAACGCTTTTTTAAAATGGTTACACTGACAAAAAACTCTTCCGGAGGAATGGGTGATTGTTTTCTTCGTTTAATTTGACTTTAGAATGAAAGGCGAGAGGTTGTTAAAATGAAACCCCCCCACTAAAACTCCGCACTGAACGAACCCGAACTGCTGATGAACAGCAGTCGATCTGCGCACGCAAGGAGGTGCTATTCCTATTCTTCTTCTGGAAAAGCGAAAGAGAGCTTCAAAACAGACTGCAGCGCCATCTGAAGCAAAGAGCGAACTTCCGGCGGACATTTTTTTGGCTGAGTGGCCCATCTTGTTATGTACTATATCTTTGGACAGACTTTCCCAAGATTAGATCTAAACGTAACAACTGATAAATAAGGAAAAACAGAAAATTTAACTTCAGGGACTTCAGGCTCCTCAATAGAATGTGCACCGTTTAAATGATTCTGAACCCCCATTAATTTTGTCAAATTCGAAAGTATAAGTAGTTCGGAAGTTTTAGGCGGCCAACGAGACCAACTTTCACAAATATAATATCATACATGTATTATAAAATGCACACACACACACACACACACACACACACACACACACACACACACACACACACACATTCACACGAACGCAGAGCCCGACACAAATAACACGAACACGGAACCTCAAAAACACCGATAGCTCGTATTTGTGATTCCCCGACCAAACCAAATCTCCGTGCTGGCAACTGCTTTCTCTAACAACACCCGAACAACACATCTCGGGGAAAAAAATCAAATTTTTCACCACAATTTTTGTCTCGAATTTAAATCGAACCCTCGCCATTGGGAAACTTTCGTTCAATCTGGTTATGTGAAGGTGGGTGCTGGGGGTGGTAGTAAGGGTATGAATAGTATGA